CTGTTCCTCCTCTCCTCTCCTCCTCCCTCCCTCCTCCCATCCCTGCCCACGCCCTCCCTCCCTCCTCCTCCCTCCTCCCATCCCTGCTCCCTCCCTCCTCCCGCCCTCATCCCTCCTTCCTCCTCTCCTCTCCTCCTCTCCTCTCCTCACTCCCTCCTCCTCTCCTCTCCTCCTCCCTCCCTCCTCCCATCCCTGCCCCTGCCCGCCGCATGCACATTTCGGCATAACGCTCACACGATTCGTGGCCCCGTAGAGAGCTCCACCGAAGCCCTCGGGGGGGGGTCGCCTGCGGTTCTTACCCGTGTCAGCACACCCCTTTGCACGCCTCGTGGCCCCATAGGGAGCTCCACCGAAGCCCCCAGGAGGAGGGTTTCGCAGTCGTTTCCTATCAAGTTGGGCACACCACTTACACGTTTCGTGGACCCACGGGGAAGGAGCTCCACCGAAGCCCACAGGATATGCGTTTCGCGTGCGGTTCTTATCCATCTTGGCACCCCTGTCATACGTTTCGTGGCCCTTATAGGCAGTTCTACCGAAGCCTCCAGGAGGGAGGGTCGATTGCGGCACAACCCTCACAAGTTTCGTGGCCCCTCAGGGAGCTCCACCGAGGCCTCCAGGAAAAGGGGGTTCGCATGCGGTTACCCACCCATTCCGGCACACCCGTCACATGTATCGTGGCCCTGCACGGAGCCCCAGCCAAACCCGCAAGAGGGGGCGGGGTGGGCTTCCACGGATTGTTGGCCACTTCTCACACGCTGCGTGGCCCCACAGGGAGCTTCACAGAAGCCCTCGGGAGGGGGAGTCGCCTGCGGTTCCCAGGCACACGCGTCGCACGCCTCGTGGCCCCACAGGGAGCTCCACCGAAGCCCCCAGGAGGAGGGTTTCGCATTCGCTTCCTATCAACTTGGGCACACCCCTTACACGTTTCGTGGACCCACGGGGAAGGAGCTCCACCGAAGCCCACAGGATGAACGTTTTGCGTGCGGTTCTTATCCATCTTGGCACCCCGTCACACGTTTCGTGGCCCATAGGCAGCTCTACTGAAGCCTCTGGGAGGGAGGGTCGTTTGCGGCACAACCCTAACAAATTTCGTGGCCCCTCAGGGAGGTCCACCGAGGCCTCCAGGAAAAGGGGTTCGCATGCGGTTACCCACCCATTCCGGCACACCCGTCACATGTATCGTGGCCCTGCAAGGAGCCCCAACCAAGCCCGCAAGATGGGGCGGGGTGGTTTCCACGGATTGCTGGCCACTTCTCACACACTTCGTGGCCCCACAGGGAGCTTCACAGAAGCCCTCGGGATTGGGGGAGTCGCCTGCGGTTCCCAGGCACACGCGTCGCACGTCTCGTGGCCCCACAGGGAGCTCCACCGAAGCCCCCAAGAGGAGGGTCTCGCAGTCGTTTCCTATAAGTTGGGCACACCCCTTACAAGTTTCGTGGACCCATGGGGAAGGAGCTCCACCGAAGCCCACAGGATAGACGTTTCGCGTGCGGTTCTTATCCATCTTGGCACCCCGTCACACGTTTCGTGGCCAATGGGCTCTACCGAAGCCTCTGGGAGGGAGGGTCGATTGCGGCACAACCCTCGCAAACTTCGTGGCCCCACAAGGAGCTCCACCGAGGCCTCCAGGAAAAGGGGTTCGCATGCGGTTACCCACCCATTCCGGCACACCCGTCACATGTATCGTGGCCCGGCAGGGAGCCCCACCCAAGCCCGCAAGATGGGGCGGGGTGGTTTCCACGGATTGTTGGCCACTTCTCACACACTTCGTGGCCCCACAGGGAGCTTCACAGAAGCCCTCGGGAGGGGGAGTCGCCTGCGGCTCCCAACCACTTAATTGCGAATGCCGCATGTGTGAGTGTCGCCGTGAGTGGAACTTCCTTCTGGGCCACGAAGCGCGTGAGACGTGTGCCGACATGGGCCCGGGGGCGCATGCGGGCTCTACCAGTGGGGCGTTCTGTGGCTTCCCTGTGGGGCCACGAGACGTGCGACGCACACGATTGCGTATGGTTGGGTCGCCCGCCAAGATAAATGGAATGTTCTGCGCATGGGTCGCGAACACGGCTGGGTCGCGAACACCACACCAATCACGCAAAATTCTTTGTAGTGCTGGAGAACTTATTTGATAAGCTGACCTTTTTACTTGACAATAGGGATTTTAAGACTTATACTATTCAGTAACCTTCAAATAACCATGAGGTCAAAGGTCACCTACCGAGGTCAAAGGTCACCGGAGGTCACAAAATTGTACACACCCGAAGGTCGGTGTGAAATCGTGCTTTCGCCGTTCGCTGCGGGTAACGCGTGTTACCCAGGGGGGCGCGGGCGGGGGGGTAACTGTGACGGCGGCCGCGGCCTGCACCGAGCCACCAGCACATCAATCGCCCGTGTGCACCACAGCCCCTGTGTACACGACAGTGCCCAAAACCTGCGCATCAGTCCGTGTGCACACGACAATGCCCAATGCCTGCGTGCAACACAGCAGCCGCGCGCACCACAGCACCACGTTGCTTGTGTACACCACAGCGCATGCGTACGCGCAGCCGCGTGCGCGATTGCGCCTGTGTGCATCACCGTGCCTGGTGTCTGCGTGCACCAGAACGCTTGTGTACACCAGAGACCCTGTGTACACCACACAAACCATGTGTACGACAGCGCCTGTGCACACCACAAAGCGTCCGTGCGCCAACGCTTGTGCACACCACAACGCCCAGCGTGCCTGGGAGCAGGCGGGAGAGGAAATCAAAGGAGGCGGGAGGTGGGGGAACATAGGAGGACCTGGGGCGTCGGCTTTACGGCAACTCCGTGTCGTGACGCCTTGTGAGTTGGTTTCAGAAACCGCGTGGGTCGTTCGATCTTGATCGACCTGCGCAACTGGAAACTCTCGGCCAAAAATCTCCTCCTCCTCCTCCTCCTCCTCACCACGGGTTCGTTTCTGAGACTCCTGGAGACCGAAAGGCCCCCCCCACTGGCGCGCCGCAACCTGGAACGCCCGCGGTGGGGCCGCCGCCGCGCCTCCTCTGCGCCAGCGAACTTTGAACTGTCTGCGGCCAGGGGCAACAGCGGACGACAGCGAGAGCCCGCAGGCCCACCGCCCAGTGGGGCCACCAAACTGTGAATATGCTGCTATCTGGCTCCCTCCCCCTTCCCACCTCCTACTCCCCTTCCGCCTCCTCCTCCTCCTCGTCCTGGCCCCCCCTGCCCTGATAGCACATGCACCTGCTGCACCGCAACGCGTGCGTGCACCACAACGCCTGTGTACACCACAGCAGCCGCGTGCACAAAGCCGCCTGTGTACACCACAGTGCTGCCGTGCATCACAACGCCTGTGAACACCGCAACGCCCGTGCCCCGTACAGTAGCCATGTGTACCACAACGTACGCGTACGCCACAATGCCTGCGTGCACCACAACGCCCGTGTAGACCGCAGCGTACTGGCCCTGCGTGCATGTCGATGCCTTCGTGAGCCGGAGCGCCTTTGTACTATTTACCGTGTCCTCTGGAAGCTGAAAAGGTTCACGCTTGTGCCCGGCTTGCAAGCGTTACCGTTACAAGGGGGGGCCTGGGGGGGGTAACACGCGTTACCCCCAAGGATCTTAAAAGAACGATCGCTGTAAGACCGTTCGGCCCCTTAATACGATCTAGATCCGAACGTGGACCCAGAAAGCTACGATTACATGTGCCCCAATCCATATCATGCATCTAGATACCATAGCCCCGCAGTTGCTCACAAGAGTGCGGGACAGGATGGGTTCTGGGGCGACAAGCCCGCCGCAAACGCCGAATGTTTGTCAAAGCAATGCGGGTGGCAGGCGGGTGTGTCGCCTGCGGGTCGGAGGTGGCTCTGGGATGAATCGCGGGCGGGTCGCGGATGTGTCGCGGGCGGGAAGCAGGGGTCGCGGCCGTGTCGCGGGCGATGGCGACGACGACGTCTGCAGAGGTTATCAACTCACCCTTCTTATCTCCACGGACTACCTACCAGAAGACCCCAACCCAACCCCAAGACCCGAATTTGAGCCGAACTTCGGGTTGGGGGGGGGTACGGGTTCCATGTGTTTTTTCAGCGCTCCCCGACCCCCCCCCCACTGGAAATGGAGGGCGAATCGAGGCCTTCGGGTTGGGTTGGGGTGGTTTGGTGGGTGGTGATCTACACCCTGCGAAATGCTTAAGAAATCATGGGTTAAGAAATTCAAACTCTCAGAGCTTGAACAAAGACCCAACATTTCTATTAAAATCTTACGATTTGCATTGAAACGTTAAGAATAATCGAGACTCTGGCCGAAAACTTAAGCTTTCTTAAGCATCGCCTAAGGTGTACTCCCTCCGCTCCACTCCGTGCTCCGTGCTGCACACCATCTGCGCTCTGCCCCGTGCTCTCTGCGACTCTGCCCCGTGATTCTCGGCGCGGGGCTCGGTGCTCCGCCCTCCGCGCTCCGCATGCCGGTAAATTATACACGCCACGATCTATGACAGCTGGTCTGCATTTACTCTCTCCATACACCCTGCGAAATGCCTAAGAAATCAAGGGTTAAGAAATTCAGAGGCTCAGAATTCGAATAAAAACCTAGAATTCCTATCAAATCTTAGGATTTACATTGAAACACTAAGAATAGTCGAGACTCTGGCCGAAAACCTGGGTTTTCTTAAACATCGCCTAGAGTGTACGTCCGTTTGAGTGGAAATGCCAAGTCCTCGTGAATGGGTCGGGAACTCCAGGGTCCGCGCACTGAGCATGGACAAAATTGCGAAGGTCGGGACGAGCGTGACGTCTTTCAATGCGAGGGCAACAGACGGTGTACTCTTGCTCATAATAGTCAAGTAGCATGATGACTTGGAACTCTTCGAAGAGCTCTCATATATGCTACGTATTACTGAATCTTGCGGCTGGCCCAGTGCTCAAAATCGGGACCCAGAGTCCAGTCGGACTGAAGATGCCTTCATGGACGCACGAAGGGAGGCACAACAAGCAAGGTGGAGACGTCGAGTGCGCCTTTTTTTTCATCCAGACAATGCCATCGTGCCAAACGATGTTCAGCGCATTACGCACCCAAATCAGAATGACACTCAGAAGCCAAGCGAAGGCTGGCAAACCCGTGGCTAATAAAGCGGAACTCCGGGAACTTGTTTTATTCTTACAGGAACAACCTGTTTATTATTTAGTGCGCTGATTTTTGTTCCGGGGGGGGTTCTTCCGGGAAGACCGTTTTAGCAGCCGCGGAATTGCCAGCCCTCGCCCAGCTTCCGACATACAGTGGCGCTGCAAAGCCACATTCGAAACACACAGCAACCCGTTGGGAACCGATACAGCTAAGAATGACTAATCAACACGAGCTACCCCTACCTGGGACGTGCCCGCCGTCCCCCACCTCGTGCCACACGTGGCAGCGGGAAGGAAAGACAAACACTACCATCAGGTAGAGCAGGAGCTGCTGATCCATGGAATGCAGGTGCGAAGGATGCCTTTCGACGGCAGCCTGTTCACTACCATCGCCCCTGATCCCAACTCTGCCCGCGCTCCAGGCGGTGGTGGTCCTCCTTCATTTTAAAAAGTGTGCAAGGGGGTGTCAAGGCGGGATTGAACTGGCAGGTGCAATGAGGGTCTCTGGGGAGCCTCAGCTCGACAAAGCCACGCTGCAGCCGCGAGGTATCGCGGGAAGCCCCGTACCAGCAAGAAACACAGTGACCTCTGCAACCGCGCTCAGGGTGGACAAGCTGTGCAGCCTGAAAGCCTGGCCGAGATGGAACACCCAGTTGCCCTACGAAATGCACCTACCGAAGCAAGACCTCTCGCACAGAGCCGTCTGCCGCAGGCGAAGAACCGCCAGAATCGGAAGGCTTCTCGCCGGACTCGCCGGCCCTGGTGGTAGGCAGCCCAGCAGCCGACCAAGCGTTGAACCCTCCATCGACGACGAAAGCGTCCACGCCGTGCTCACGAAGAAACTCCCACGCCAGCATGCTCTTGGGGCCCGCAGTGCAGGACACCACCACCTTGCGGTCAGATGTGCCCTCGGGCGGGAAACCAGCGGCCACCCACTCGTCCAGAGGGCTCACATCCGCGCCTGTAACGCCCGCTCCAGTCGAATAGGCGGCGATCGTCTGCCCGTCGGTCATGGCCTGCACCTGCTCAGGCGTCCTCACGTCCAGCAGCAGCGCACCCCCGTGCTCCACCAGAGCGGCAGCGACGTGCGGTGATATCCGCTCTACGTACGGGTGACCAGAGTGACCTTCGGTGCGCTGCCGTTGGGGGGCGCCCACGCCCCAGAAGCAGCCCTTCCGGGCGCTGTCTGGAGCCCTGAGCGGGAGCCCCATCTGGGCCCAGCACCCAAGCGGCGAAACGGCACCCTTACGTAGCGCCGATCATAATCGCCGTTCGCCGACTTGTGCCTTCAAGCCAGCCACCCGCTCCATCATCTCCTTCGACTTGGGGACGTGATGGGCCTGCTTTCCACCATCACAACTACCATCAGTTGGAGGGGGAGGAGGAGGAGGAGGAGGAGGAGGAGGAGGAGGAGGAGGACGAAGAGGAGGAGGAGGAGGAAGTGGCGGAGGAGGAGGAAGAGGACGAGGAGGAGGACCCCCTCCCCCTCCAACTTGTGGTGGTGGTGGTGGTGGAAAAAAGGCCCATCAGGACGAGCTCCGCGGCGCTCGGCGGCACATACCCCGCCAAAGGCCCCCTCGCGACCATCGCCCCGAGCAGAGCCAATGCGCAGGCGGGCGCCAGTGCGGCCCGGCGGCGGCCGCGGCCCGCGCCAGCAGAGCGGCGCATGCCGCCGCGTTCGACCGGGCGGGCAGGTCTGGCAGCACTGCGGGCCGAGCTTGAGCGAGGCTACCAAAACGGATTCACGCACACACACACACACACACACACACACACACACACACACACACACACACACACACACACACACACACACACACACACACACACACACACACACACACACACACGCACGCACGCACGCACGCACACACACACGCACACACACACACACACACACACACACACACACACACACGCACTCGAGCACGCCCCCTCTCACGAATACACACAAAGTATCCCGGCAGAACAACCTAACAGCGATGTGTCTAAGCATATTTGGAAACATTCCCCTTAAGATTCAGGTGAGAATCCAGTTGTAGAATTCTGCTGTTCTCGCAGTCGCAGTCGCATTCGCAATGACAGTCGCAGTGGCAACGGCCGTAGGATCCAATGGAACCCTAAGGCTTCCTAGGGATTCCTAAGGCATCCTTAGGCATCCTTAGGAATCCATAGGAATCCTTAGATAACCTTAGGAATCCTTAGGAATCCTGATTCCTACGGGTTCCTAGGGATTCCTAAGGATTTCTATGGAATCCTGAGGGGTCCTAAGGATTCCTGAGGATGCTTAACTATGCCTGCGGATTCCTAAGGATGCCTACGGATTCCAAAGCTTTCCTGGGGATTCCTACGGATGCCTCAGCCTGCCTCAGTTTCAGCCTCAGCCTTAGCCTGCCTCGGCTTGCCTCAGCCTCAGCCTCAGCCTGCCTCGGCCTCAGCCTCAGCCTGCCTCAGCCTCAGCCTCAGCCTGCCTCGCCTCAGCCTCAGCCTCAGCCTCAGCCTCAGCCTCAGCCTCAGCCTCAGCCTCAGCCTCAGCCTCAGCCTGCCTCAGCCTCAGCCTCAGCCTCAGCCTCAGCCTCAGCCTCAGCCTCAGCCTCAGCCTCAGCCTGCCTCGGCCTCAGCCTGCCTCGGCCTCAGCCTGCCTCAGCCTCCCCTCCTCCTCCCCCCCCCCCCCCCCCCATTCAGCCTCACCTTGTCTCAGCTTCGGCCTGCCTCGGCCTCAGCCTCAGCCTCAGGCTCTGAGCCTCAGGCCTCAGCCTCAGCCTGCCTCGGCTTGCCTCGGCCTCCTCAGCCTGCCTCGGCCTCAGCCTCAACCTCAGCCTCAGCCTGCCTCAGCCTCAGCCTGCCTCAGCCTCAGCCTGCATCAGCCTCAGCCTCAGCGTGCCTCAGCCGCAGCCTTGCCTCAGCCTCAGCCACAGCCTCAGCCTCAGTCAGCCTCAGCCTGCCTCAGCTTCAGCCTCAGCCTCAGCCTGCCTCGGCCTCAGCCTCAGCCCTCAGCCTCAGCCTCCTGCCTCAGCCTCAGCCTCAGCCTCAGCCTCAGCCTCAGCCTCAGCCTCAGCCTCAGCCTCAGCCTGCCTCAGCCTGCCTCAGCCTCAGCCTCAGCCTCAGCCTGCCTCAGCCTCACCTCAGCCTGCCTCAGCCTCAGCCTCAGCCTCAGCCTGCCTCAGCCTCAGCCTCAGCCTCAGCCTCAGCCTCAGCCTGCCTCAGCCTGCTCGCCTCAGCCTGCCTCGGCCTCAGCCTGCCTCAGCTCGGGCATCCAAACTATGGCACAGGACTGGTGTTCTGGGAAGACGAAGAACACGAGGTGGCCTACAGTTGGCTCCGGGCATTCAAAATGTGGCCTGGGAATGGTGTCCTGGGATCACGAAGAACACGAAATGGCCTACAGCTGGCTCCGGGCATTCAAAATGTGGCCTGGGAGGGGTGTTCTGGGAACACGAAGAACACGAAGTGGCCTACAGCTGGCTCCGGGCATTCAAAATGTGGCCTGGGAATGGTGTCCTGGGAAGACGAAGAACACGAGGTGGCCTACAGTTGGCTCCGGGCATTCAAAATGTGGCCTGGGAATGGTGTCCTGGGATCACGAAGAACACGAAATGGCCTACAGCTGGCTCCGGGCATTCAAAATGTGGCCTGGGAGGGGTGTTCTGGGAACACGAAGAACACGAAGTGGCCTACAGCTGGCTCCGGGCATTCAAAATGTGGCCTGGGAATGGTGTTCTGGGACTGGATTCCTAAAGACTCCTAAGAATTCCCAAGGATTCCTAAAGATTCCTGGGGCTTACCCTTTTGTCCGGTTCCGTCCGGTTCCTTGTCCAGATCCCGCCCAGACCCCCCTGGGGCGTCAAGATGCTTTCTTTTGATCCCACTAGAAACCTATCAGTAAAAACTCCGCGGCCTACCTCCTCCCATCCGTCTGCGTCCTCACCATCCCCCTCCTGCCCTCGTTTTCGCTGTCTCCGATCACTGCCCTATAGAACACGCACCAAACTAAGACGAGAGATCCGACAGGACGGACAGCCAGCGAGCACAAACACGCTGTGCAGTGGAGGTGCGAATGCAGCAGTTGACGAGTCCGCCACCGTGTCTCTCGGCACGTTCAGCCGTGGTCGAAGACCAGGTGCTGGCTGGTGCTCCAGATTTCGTAATAAAGGGAGGGGGGTCTCATTTCGGGGGGGGTCTCTTCCAGGCTATCTTGGAGGGCCTGGGGGATCTGGGGACGATGTTTTGGAGGGTTCTCCCACGGGGGAGGTCTGGAATGGCTTGTCTTGGGGGGTCCAGACCCCCTCCCTTTTATCACGAAATCTGGAGTATGGTTTCTGCAAGTCTTGTCAGGGCCGCCCCCTCCCAGGCACCACACCGTTCTACCTGCCTCGCCCCCCCCTCCCGAGAAAGGATTCCGAGGCGCCACGACGCCTCCCCGGAGCTCTACAGGGCCTCCAGGACACCCAGCATGGCTTCCAAGGCAGCCCACGCCAAGCCACCAATACGAGACCGATGTTGCATCACAGCAGCAATTCGGCCCCTGACTTTCGTCCTGGGTTCGGTTTAGTGAAGTGATGAACTTCGGGGTCCTCACGTGGGAAAAACATCACTTCACTAATCTGGGGCACCTGGGGCCTCAGTGGGCCCTGGGGCCCAAAATTAGTGAAGTGATGGTTTTCGGGCCTCGGAACCAAGGCCGCCGAGAGAGCGCAAGATGCCGCCAAGACAGCCCAAGACGGCCCACGATGGCCTCAACGATGGCCTCAAAATTGCCCACGAGGCCCTCAATACGGCCCAAGAGGGCTGCACAAAAACCTCCAGGGGCGCCCGAACAGGTCAGAGGGCAGCCCGCGGTAAGCCGTCAACCCAGTGACCGCCAGGAACCTCGAAGAGCTCTCTGTCGTGTGTTGAGGAAAACCGGAACAATTACACATGCCAATTATGTTTTCAAGATGCTCTCACAATCATCAAAAATCCGCCGACCGAGTCAGCGTGTGTAAGACGTTTTTGCGTTTGAGTCGTCGTCGACGTCGCCGCTTCCACCCTTTCCCTGGGCCTTCCTACTCAAGCGATCCGGTCAGACGGAAATCAAACAACGTCGTGATTGATTCGAAAGGAAGCCCCTTCCCTTTGATCCCTTCCCTGGCGGAGGGGGGGAGGGTAGCGGGGGGGATCCGGGGGGTGTCCCCACTGTGGACGAGGGGACAGGAGGGTGGGCCCCCTTGTGGACAGGAGGAACTCAGGATCCCTTCCCCCGCCTCCCCCCCTGGACACAAGAACCACCATCCCCCCCTCTCCCCCAAGACCCCCCCCCTCTCCGGTGAGGAGGTATCCTCCTCACTCGTATCTGCTGTTGCGGGGTGCTGCGTGCTTTCCATCGTGCCTACAGGAGGCCTCAGATCTGCTCCGAGGCGGCTCCAAGTGGCAACTGAGCTTCCAAAGAAGTCCCCCAAGACACCCCCCAACTCAGCACAACGGGATCCCAAGAGAGACCCAAGAAGGGCTACAGAGCGTCAGCATCGTCGTCGTCGTCGTCGTCCCCCTTCAGGGTCGGCGGCTCTGGCCATAGGCCTTCCCAATCACAATTGTCCGTCCCATACTGAGGTCGCGGTTACGTCAAGCGTTTTGACAGAAAGTGTGAGGCTACGGCCATAAAACTATGCCATCACAAAGCCTCAGAGAATCCTGCAGGTGCGAAAAAATGGATTCTCAAACGAATTGTCAAGGTCGAAAGAGTCTTGTGAACACCAAACCCAGTCATCACATTGTCCGTTCCAGTCTGGTCGGCCAAACAGCTCCACCCTGCGCCCGAGGTCTTCGCCGATGTTCTCAGCTGAGCTCTCGAAGTAGATCATGGACCATGAATATCCCCTTGAGTGTTTGTCTGATCTTCGCGTTCTGGCCTGTTCATCAAGCTCCCACCAGCTCAAGACGGCCCAGGCGGCCTCCAACATGGCCCCAAAACAGCCCAGGAGTCCCCCCCCCAAGGGCCCAATTATGGCCCACACGGCTGTCAGTCTGGCCCCAATGAGAGGCTCTCAAGATTGCCCGGGAGGCCTCCAAGGCTCCCCCAAGGTGGCCCGGGGACTCCCCGGAGAGGGGCCGACCCGAGGCGGCTCCGCGAAGCCCCCAAAATGGACTCCGGGGGCGCCAGACTGCCCAGGAACGTGCCAAGAGATAGCCCGAGGAGCCCCCAAAGGGGCCCCAAGAGGCCCCAAGAGAGGAGGCACGAGGAGAGAGGGAGGAATGGTGGGCTTGTTTTCCACCACCACCAGCACCACCATAAGTAGGAGGGGGAGGGGGTCTTCCTCCTGGCCCTCCTCCTCTTCATCCTCCTCCTCATCCTCCGCCTCCTTCCCCCCTCCAACTTATGGTGGTGGTGGTGGTGGTGGTGGTGGTGGTGGTGGTGGTGGTGGTGGTGGTGGTGGTGGTGGTGGTGGTGGTGGTGGAAAACAAGCCCATGAAGGAAGACCACGACGCGCCGCATTTTACACACGGCGCTCGCAAACCTCGGAACCACACGCTACGGCTTCCTGTGCAGTCGCCGCCGGCATGGTGGCGGGACTTGCCGCAGGCAGCTGTATACGGAGAGTCAAGCCCAATCCCTCGGTGCATATCACAGTCCTGGCGAGCCGCCAAGCTCGGCGGCGGGGGGCATCAATATTACGGCCACCCACCTTCCTGCCGCCTCCTCCTCCTCCTCCTCCTCCTCCTCCTCCTCCTCCTCCTCCTCCTCCTCCTCCTCCTCCTCCTCCTCCTACCGCTGCCGCCTTCTGCATCCCCCTCCTCCCGCTCTCCCACTCCGCGACCCGAGGCGCTGTGCACGCTCTGATTCTGGAGAGAACCTCCGACGCGTGCGAGGCGCCGCAGGCATGCGTCGAGGCACGGGCGCCCGCCCGCGATCCCCCACATCCACCCACGTTCTCACCTCGTCTCCGTCCTCCTCCCCTCCTCCCTACACCCTGCGAAATGCTTAAGAAATCATGGGTTAAGAAATTCATAGTCTCAGAACTTGAATAAAAACCCAAAATTCCCATTCGAATCTTAGGATTTACATTGAAACATTAAGAATAATCGAGACCCTGGCCGAAAATTTAAGTTTTCTTAAACATCGCCTAAGGTGTAATCCTCTGCCGCCGCCGCTGTCGTCATTACTGCGGCCACGGCTGCCGTTGCTAATTGCTACTGCTGCTGCTGCTGCCGCTGCTGCTGATGCTGACTTCTGCGCGTGTGCCGATCGCGCGCTAGTCCTGGTCGGATGCTGGGCCGCTGGTGGGCCGCCAGGCGCGCCGCCGCCGCCGTCTCTTCCTACATCCATCCTCCGTCCTCCTCCTCCTCCTCCTCCTCCTCCTCGATCCTCAAAGCCCCCCCCTGCCACTCCTCGAACCCCCCCCCGTCTGGCGCGGCCCAACCGACCCATTATGCAACGAGCACCTTCTGTGACGTCCCCCGTGCGGCCCAGGCCTCCGCCTGGCCGCACACGTACGCCCTGGGGTGAGGCGCGGTGGACGTCGCGGAAGGGGATGGCTTGCTGGGGGCCAGTCAGACCGCCCCTGACCCCCTCCACCTCACCATCCTCTATCCTCCGCGCCTTCCCCCCCCACCCTTAAGTCGGGCGTGTCCTCCTACAAGCGGTTTTTGGACGAAAAACAATAGTTACCCCAACATGCCAAAACATAGTCAAAACATAAACAAAAAATCGTCCCCTGATGATTTTAAATATTCCTCCTGTGGAGGGACAGGCCCGACCTAACCCCGCCCCTGGCCCGTCGTTTTCTGCTGGGTGCCGCCGCTGCCACCGCGCGGTGCCGCGGCGGCCGGCGAGGCGCAGGCGGCGGCGCCGCGCACCGAGAGCAGCCTGGCGGCGGCGCGGCCGCGAGATCGCTGTCGGCATCGCAGGAGGCCGAGACCCGTGTGGGTCATGAGAAAAAGCGGAGGAAAATGTTCGATATTTTCGGCCTCGGGGGGCCCTCGCCGGGCCCCAGGGCCGTCAAAGCACGACTCTGGATGCAGAAGCGGTACCGAGGAATGGGTCGAGGCCTCTGGGGGTCGACTTTGCGAGAAAATCATGACGTCGGGTGTCTGGGAGGGGGGGGGAGGGCGAGGGGAGGAGCGGGCTGGAGGTGGAGGTGGAGATGGAGGGAGAGGAGGAGGATCACAGAGGGCGAATGGGGAGCTTCACCGGGCGCAGATTTGTAATGTTTTCTCTGTTGCGACGGAGGCCAGGGAGGAGGATCATGAGGAGGATCAGGAGGAGGAGGAGGAGGAGGAGGAGGAGGAGGGTGAGGGCGAGGGGGAGGGGGACGAGGAAATCATCAGCTCGACGCCAACTGTGTAAGTTGTTCAGGCATATGCCGAATTTGTTCTTCGCGACGTGCCCCATGACAGTCCAACATGCCCAAATGAAGGCCCAGCATGGCCTCAAGCTGTTGCCAAGAGGGGGCCCAGAGGGGGAACACGAATCGGTAGTTATCTCGAGCTATCCACCCAAAGATGGCCTCCGAGAGGCCACCGAAGTGCCCCCGAGACACCCCAAAACCGCCTCCAAGAGAATTCCGGGGGGCCTCCCAAGAGATCCTCATAGGCATCCAAGAGGTCACTGGCCCACAATCCAAGCACGGTGGCGTGATGGGCCACATGCCACTAGACAAACCCGATACAAATATACCAAGTAAGGCATTGGGAAGATCCCGAGTACTCTGTTGGACGCCGTTCGTTACTCCTCCCCGGAACCCAAAAAACAAAAACTACGAAAACAACGCAGCAATGGAGGACGACGATGACGTGCAGGACGACGACGACAAAACTCTGCGTCGAGACCTGCGCCTCGGCGGGGGCCCGCGGGCGCGCAGAACCCGGCCGAGGCGCGCAGACGCGCGCTCGACCTGGGCAGCGGGGCGGCCTCGACGCAGATCTGCGACGTCGCCGGGCGGCCTGGGGGAAGACGCGACGCAAGCCAGCGAGCACGCTCGGAGTTTCCTGGCGAGCTTTTCTTTACGACGCCGGTGGCGGGATGCGCGCTGGGAGCGAGCGAACAAGCTCTGGATGAGTGTTTTGGCTTGCTGTTCGCCGCAGCGTTGGAAACGCGACAGTTGCAAGGAGCGACCAGGCACGCTTGCAAACTGAGCATGGTGGAACATGTTTCGGTCATTGGCAACGGTGAGGGCGGCACGCGAAAGGGCGGGCACGCTCATGGAAAACAACATGCTCAGATTATGTCGGGAGTGATGATAGCTGAAGTGAGACATGCGAGACTGATGCTGGTGGCCGTTGCCCCGCCGATACCGTTGGTGACGCCGGTCAAGCCTTGGGAGACTGACGCGCCGTGCGAACAACAGCCTGAGCCATGCTGAACACGAGTCTCGACGCGGTGGGCAGGCGGACGGCGCACGCCGCGCTGAAGGACCACCCCCTGCGCATCCCCTACGGTGTCCAAAACATGCCACGCCTGCTGTGCATGGACGACTGGAGCGTATAGACACCGCGGTGAGAAACCACCCCCTGCGCACCCCTATGGTGTCGAGAAAGTGCCACGCCTGCTGTGCTTGGACAACCGGGGCGTATAGACACCGCAGTGAGAGACCACCCCCTGCGCCCCCCCCCCTATGGTGTCGAGAAGGTGTTACGCCTGCTGTGCCTGTTGGCGCCTGCTGCCTTTGAGCCTGTTTGAGCCGAGGTGTCTGCAGCGCGCCGTGCTGAGCATACTTCTGCCGCATACAAGCCTGAGGCACCTGTGCATACTGCATAACACGCCTGCTAAGCCTTGCGACACTGGCGCGTATAGAGACCGCGGTGAAAGACCACCCCCTGCGCACCCCCTCTGGGGTCAAGAAAGTGCCACGCCTGCTAGGCCCTGAGACATTGTCGTGTCTAAAGGCCGCGGTGAGAGAACATCCCCTGCGCACCCCCTGTGGTGTCGAGAAAATGCCACGCCTGCTAGGCCCTGCGACATTGGAGCGCATACAGACACCCCCTGCACACCCCCTGTGGCGTCGAGAAAGTGCCACGCGTGCTAGGCCCTGCCACATTGGTGCGTATGGAGTCCGCGGTGAGAGAACACCCCATGCGAACCCCCTCTGGCGTCGAGAAAGTGCCACGCCTGGTGGGCCCTGCGACATTGGCGCGTATAGAGGCTGCGGTGAGAGACCACCCCCTGCGCCCCTCATTTGATGTCGAGAGAGTGCCACGCTAGGCCCTGCGACACTGGAGCGTATAGAGACCGCGGCGTGAGACCACCCCTGCGCACCCCCTCTGACGTCGACAAAGTACCACGCCCGCTAGGCCCTGAAACATTGGCGCGTATAGAGGCCGCGGTGAGAGACCACCCCCTGCGCATCCCTTCTGAGGTCCAGAAAGTGCCACACCTGCTGGGCCCTGCGACATTCGCGCGTATAGAGATCGCGGTGAGAGACCACCCCCTGAGCACCCCGTGACGCCGAGAAAGTGCCACGCCTGCCACGCTTTGCGAACCCGAAACTGACAAGGAGACCAGCCCCAGCGGACCCCCTGTGGTGTCGAAGACGTGCCAGGTCTGCCACGGCGGTTTTGTAAGTGCGAGCGAGGCGGAGAAGCAAAAGTGTGAGGTGCGAAGCGGCAGGGAAGAAAACCAAAACCGCACGAAACATGTGGGGAATCAACTCCGTGACAGAAGCGCTGGCCGCGCGATGACTGCCCAGAGCAAGCGGACATGCTCGGCGTGATGTTCCAGGCGGGCTTCCCAGCAACAGCCTTGGCAGGGGGATGCGCGCTGGGAGAAGGCGGATTCGCTCGGAACACGCGTGTGTGTGTGTGACTGTGTGTATGAATGTCAATGTGTATGTACGTACGTACGTCTGTACGTGTGTATGTACGTATGTACGTACGGTCGTTCGTGCGTATGCGTGTATGTGTATGCATGCATGTGTGCATGTATACATGTGTATGCATGCGTCCATGCATGCATGCATGCATGCATGCATGTATGTATGTGTGTATGGGTGTATGTATGTACGTATGCACGCACGTATGTATGTATGTATATGTGTATATGTCATTGTATGTGTGGACGTATGTATGAGTGCATGTCTGTATGTGGATGCGTGTGTGCGTATGTATATAGTTATGCATTCATGTGTGTACATGCGTGTATGTGTGTATGTATGGCTGTATGCGTGTACATGTAGTTAGATATGTATGCTTGTGTGAATATATGCATACATGCATGCATGCATGCAGGTGTGTAGGTATGCACGTATGTATGCATGTATGTATGTATGTATGTATGTATGTATGTATGTATGTATGTATGTATGTATATATGCATGATTGTATGTGTGGATAGGTATGTGCATGTGTATGTGTATGGATAGGTGTATGCGCATGTGCATGTGCATGTACATGTGTATGTGTGTGTATGTGTATGTGTGTTCCTGTGAGTCCTTGATGTATGCGATTGGAGTCTGCTGGTACCGTTCAATATGTATAGATGTGTTACTATCGTTGTTACGGTTTGGTGTTGGTGTCCCTGAGTGGTGGGTGTGTGGTCGGTGTATGGTGTTGATGCATATGCATGGCGGAACGACTGGTGTGCTATTATTGGCGAATGCGTGTGTGTGTGTGTGTCTGTGTGTGCGTGTGCGTGCGCGCGTGATGTTCGGTGTGTTGCATGTTGCGTTCTGCATGTGGTTGGTTCCTTGGTGCCTGCTATGTGTGAAAGTCGCTGGCGAATTGGATTGGCATGTGTCTCCATGCGCATGTGGTTAACTGTTTGCACGGTGTATGTTGTGACGCCTGTCCTTGACATGCGCCACTGTTGCTTGTTATTGGGTAATGTGACGGATGCGGCGTAAAGCCTGATGTTTTTGTTGAATGCCCTTGGGGAATCCCACCTGCCCTTTGGGCAACAGGTGGTCTAACGAGATTCCTCTTCCCTCTTCAAAAAATCAGTATTCCCCTACGGGGAGTGCTTATTACTGTTCCCTATTAATATGCACCCCTCCCCCAGGCGACTGGGAACCAACCCGAGCCAATGAGGGCCCCCCCCCACCATCCCTGGTAGAAAAACAATGCAAAACACACTCTGCCTCCAAATTCGGAGCATGCGCAACGAACCCGGGGCGGCCTCCCCCCACCATCCCTATCGAAAAACGATACAGAGTACACTTGGCGGCGGCGGCGGCGGCTGCGGCGGGGGCAGCGGCGGGCGGCGGCGGCGGGCGGCGGCGGCGGCGGCGGAGGCGGCGGCGGATTCGCCCCCAGTAGCTGCCCATCCAAAGACGACTGCTGAATTTGCTGCGGCTCGGGCCAGGCTCGGGTGCTACGTATGTGTTGGGAGGGCGGGTGGGAGTGAGCGAGACGGCTTGCGGGCGGGGAGAGCGTCTTGACCCCTCTCCTTACCCTCCCCTGGGCTGTTTCCCCTCCCCCCCCCCGCGAGGTGTTAGAGCGACAAAAACGGCCTCGGCGAAGAAGCCAAACTCATTAGTTTGACTGAGGTCTTGGCACCAGTTTGGCCTCTCTGGGGGAGGGGACTGGAAAATGGTCCACCAGCCCTCTGGGCGCCAAAATCATTGGTTCGACTGAGGTGTTTGCCCCCCTTTGGGCCACTTTGGGGGGGTCTGAACGTTAACCCACCAGCCATCTGGGCGTCAAAATCATTGGTGTTACTGAGGTGTTGGCCCCAGTTTGGCCTCTTTGGGGGGGGGGGGGAGCTCAACGTTATATCAACTCCTCCTTTGATCAAGGGCCTTCAAGATGGCCCCAAGAGGCCTTCCAGGGCCCCCAAGAGGGCCCCACGAGAGCCCCGAGAAGGCCCCAAGAGGGCCCCAAGACTGCCCCAGAGGCCTCCAATACGCCCAAGATGGTCTCCAAGACTGCTAAGATGGTCTCCAAGATGTCTCCAAGACTTCCCAAGATGCACCCACGACGGCCTGAGATGGCCTCCATATGGCCTACGACAGCCCGAGAAGCCCCCAAGACCTCCAAGACTGCCCAAGAGGACTCCAAGGGGTCCTCCAGGAGGACCCGAAGAGGCCAAATTCATTGACGTTCCGTAGGTGGTTGAAAGATTTTGGCAGCTACTTCTGTTCAGCATTCCGACGGCTCAAGACAGCCCAAGCGGCCCCCACTATCGCTCACGAGGTCTCCAAGATGGCCCCATGACGGCCCAAGAGGCCCCCGAGACGGCCCCAAGAGGGTTCAATATGCCTCTAAGACGGCCAAACTTGCCTCCAAGACTGCTAGAATGGCCCCAGGATGCCTCCAAGACGGCCCAAGATGCACCCAAGACGGCCTAAGATGGCCTCAAGATGGCGCAAGACGGCCCAAGAGGCCCCCAAGAGGCCCCCAAGACAGCCCACAGGGCGTCCAGGAGGTCTTCCAGGAGGGCCCGAAGAGGCCAAAATCATTGACTTCCCTAAGGTTATTCAAAGATGTTGGCATTTACTTCTTTTCGGCATTCCGACGGCTCAAGACGGCGCAAGAGGCCCCCAAGATCGCCCAAGAGGCATCCAGGATGGCCACATGACGGCCCAAGAGGCCCCCAAAACGGCCCCAAGAAGGCCCCAAAACGGCCCAAGAGGCCTCCAAGACGCCCAAGATGGCCTCTAAGAACCCCTGATATGCCCCAAGATGGCCCCAAGACGACCCAGACAGGCCCCCAAGACGGCTTCCGACTGCGCCAGACAAGCCAGGAACGCCCTAAGACGGCCAAAGAGGCCCCCAAGAAGCCTCCAAAGGCCACAAAAAAACCTCCAAGAGGCCCCCAGAAGCTCCGATGAGGCCCCAAGAGTGCCCCAAGAGGCGCCCAAGAGGCCTCCTCCTCCCCTTCCTCCTCCTGTTCCCCTCGCCCCAACGCGGCCCTCAGGGATGGCCCGAAGAGGCCTTCCAAGGCCACCCCATTGCTCCCAGAGATCTCTCGGTTCATCCTGGTTGCTCGCGTTGTTTCCCTAGATGTGTCCCTTCGTCTCTTTTCCCGTCAGCTCTCGTGTGCAGGGTTTCTGAATGGGCTGGTGGGGAAACGAGAGGCGTGAAGAATCGACGCATGCTTTGGTGTCGCTTCCAGACACGGCGTGTCACGACTGATTTGTCGTGGAATGCCAACATACGAGGTGGGCTACTCGGGATTACTGGGCCCTGGTGACCGAAGTATGCACGCTGGCGGGCGAGGTGGGATACTTGGAATTCTCGGGATTGATGGGACCTAGCAGCAACGGCAAGCAGGGCTGCCAGCCGGGCTGTTCCTCTTCTTTGAATATGTCGAATGGGTGGGTGGTGGGGGGCGGTATGAATATCGCCGTCGCCGTCGTATTCGCCTTCGCCGTCGTCGTCGCATTCGCCTTCGCCGTCGTCGTCTTCCTAGTTGTCGTCGTTGGAGGAAGGGGGGAAATAAGGGGAAGACGAGGAGGGAAGAGGTGATCGGAGGAAAAGGGGGATGAAGCATAGATGAGAGGAGGGCGAGAAAGATGAATGACAGGGCGAGGGGAGGAGGAGTGTAAGAGAGATCAGATGGCAAGGGCGAAAGGGGAGGGAAGATGCAGGAGGGTGAGGGCGACGACGACGACGACGTTCCGAATATCATACTGCTCTTGCTCTTCTGCCCTCCGGAAGCTGCCAGAGGGCCCCAGGGGTATCAGAGAGAGACCTCCTCTGGAGATCTCTGGAAGAAAGCCGCCACGAGGAGAATGAGCCGCCCCCCCGCCTCCTCCTCTCCTCCCCCCTCCCCCCACACCGTGCCCGCACCGCCCTGCGGGACCTGTGCGGGCGTCCCGAAGCGCAGGCCTGCGTGGCGCGCTCGGTCCTCGCTGCGCGGGCCGTGCGCGGCCAGCGGGAGAACAGGGGGGGGGGGGGCCTCGCGCATGCCTGGGTGGCGTCGCCGCCGCGGTCGCGGTCGCCCCAGGCGACGACGGCGCCGTCCTCGGGCGCGGGCAGGGGGAACTGATTGGCGCAGAATGGGGAGGAGATCAGGGATGAGGCCAGACACGAGGGAGATCTCGAGCATTTTTTGCAGGATACCCGTAGCGTCAGCGTGCTGTCCACAGGGAACAAATCAAGATTCGCCTTAGGCGATGTGCAGTGGCCTGAGTAACGAAGTACAGCCCGCCACGGTAGTTGCCTCAGGCGTATGGTGATTGGGAGGTGAGGGGAACCATAATAAGCATGAACAACACAATCATGGGAAGGACACAATAACGAGAGGGAGTCCGATATACTATGCAGTGATGGGCAGCAGCGTGGGCTAAGTGTGCCTGGCGATGCAATACTAATTGGGCATGGTAACAGACAGTAGAAAGCCTGTCAATACAAAAGGTGGCCAACCTTGCTGCGGTCCACAGTACGGTACCCTCGATGGACCAGCCACTCCGCACCAGGGCCAAAGTGGCAGCTGGGTGCCAGAGCATCGGGACCCTCCTGCACGACCACCTCCTCTCATCACACCCCCGCCCAACAGCCGACCTCCCCCACAGTGGCGCGCAGCAAAGTGAGGCTGCAAAAGGCTACGCTGTAGAACGCAAGTCGGGTTCACACAGAAGGCACACATGGGCGATGTATCCTTCTCCACCTCCTGATTGTCGTCGTCATCATCGCCACAATCGACATCACCATCACCAACAGCCTTGCAACCTTCATCATAATCACCACCAGCATCGACATCACCACCACCATCATCACCACACCCACCATCATTACCACCACCACCATCACGATCACAATCAACATCGTCATCATCAACATCATCAACATCATCAACATCATCGTCATCAACATCATCAACATCAACATCATCACCATCACCATAACCGTCACCATCACCATCACCAGCATCATCATCATCACTACCATCAGCATCACCATCGCCATCACCATCACCATTACCACCATCATCATCATCATCAGCAGCATCATCATCAGTATCAGCATCAGCATTATCATGAGCATCCTCATCACCATCACCACCGACGCGTCCAATCGCCTGTCTCGACCCGCTGTGAGAGAAGGACGTCGGCTTTACGCCCTCTTGCGCAGTGGCTACCGACGCTCCCTCCTCCGACAACCACTCCTCATCCACCTCCATAGTTCATGTCCACCTCCTCCTCCACCATCACCTTCCTCCCTACCCTTCTACTCCACCATCACGTTCTGGCCCCTCCTCCTCTGGCTATCCTCCTCTTCCTCCTCCTCCTCCTCCTCCTCCTCCTCCTCCTCCTCCTCCTCCTCCTCCTCCTCCCCATCCGCATCCTCATCCTCCTCCTCCTCTTCCTTCTCCACCTCCTCCTCCTCCTCCTCCTCCTCCTCCTCCTCCTCTTCCCCTCCTTTTCCCTGCTTTCATCCTCACTCCGTCGCTCCCAAGCCCTACCTCCCTCAACGTCCCCTCTTTCGCTCCCTGGCCGGGCCCCGTCCTCCCGCACGGCGACGAACGCATGGCCATTGCCGTGCACGCTGGTCACGCCGCCAGCGAGGCGCTCGCGCGCCTTGCGTTATTTCAGGCCGGACTTCAATCATCCTCTTTCTCCTCTCCTCCGCCTGCTCCTCGCCTCCTCGACCTTCGCGTTCCATCCCACCTTCCTCCTCCTCATCCTCCTCCTCCCACCATCTCCCTCCTCCTCCTCCTCCTCCTCCTCCTCCTCCGCCTCCTCCTCCTCCTCCTCCTCCTCCTCCTCCTCCTCCTCCTCCTCCTCCTCCTCCTCCTCCTCCCCCCACCTTCTCCTCCTCCCCCCCGTCCTCCTCCTCCTCCTCCTCCTCGATGCTCGAGGTTCGAGGATCAAAGCTGGTGACGTGCTTCATGCTTTCCCCGCAGCGGCGCCGGGGGAGGGAGGGGACGTCTGCGCAAAGAATGTGGAACGGTTCTGGCAGCTTCGGCCTTGAAGGATCGAGGACTTGCAGGGCTCCTGTGCTGCATTTGATGTTCCGACTTTTTTTTGCGCTGGCCCCCCGAAGCCTCCTCCGACGAACGTCGGGCGGGGAGGGGGGAGGGACCAGAGGATGAGGAGAGGGAGGCCCACAGCTCCCAAAAGTGCATCGAACCATTACAGCCATCGTCTTGCCACAAGGGGCGCAGAACAGGGAACACATGGGCCGCCTTCCCCATTCCGAGCCTCGGTCACGAATGGGCTCTCCGAAATGGGTTCCCCGACCCGGAGCTGAGGAACGGCCCGAAAGCCAGAGCCAGGGCCCCTCCCTGGGTAGTCGAAGCCAATCTGGCAGGCCCAATCTGGCAAACGGGGGCAATCTGGCGAGGGAGCCAACGCGAATCCAGTCTGGCGAATAACCCAAATCATCCAGTTTGGCCGGGCCAGATTGGCCCTTGGGGCCCAATCCAATCTGACAGTCTGGCCTTCGACTACCCAGCCTCCTGAGCCCAACGTGGCCCTCATCTCAGCGTCTTCACTGCTCGGCGCCGAGCCCAGGGGGGGGGGGAGCGAGGAGGAGCAGGCCTTCTCAGAAGGCTCCGAAGTCCCCCTTGGAGGCCCCCTGGTGAGAAGGCAAGGCCCGCGCTCGCGCCAGCGCGCGACGACGACGAAGACGACGACGCCGACGACGACGATGACGCTGACGACGCAAAAATGACGCCGCGGACGACGACGCCGACGCCCACGACGACGACGAAGACTACGATGCGCGATGCGCGTGCGCCCACGCGCGCGCGTCGAAAAAGCACGACGCACGCGAGGGGCGCCTCCGCCGGGCACCGCCCGCCGTGCAGCGGGTGCCCCCACACCACCACGGACCCGTCCTGAGGGCGCGGGCGCGGGCGCCCCGTCGTAAAGGGTGGGGCCGCCGCGGTGGGAGGCGGCCAAAGCCGGCAAGCTGGCTTCGAGCTTCGAGCTATCCGACGCAGTCGCTGGGGAGAGCTAAAGACCGCGGTGACGCTGCTCAGCCTTGCTAAGCTGCTTCGGCCACGGGCCCGCCGTCAACCGATTGAGGTACACCCTGCGAAATGCTTAAGAAATCATGGGTTAAGAAATTCATAGTCTCAGAACTTGACTAAAAACCCAAACTTTCTATTAAAATCTTAGGATTTACGTTGAAACATTAAGAATAATCGAGACCCTGGACGAAAACTTAGGTTTTCTTAAGCATCGCCTAAGGTGTAAACACAAGCTTTGGGCACGCGGAGAAAGGTCCAGCGGAGGGCCACAGCGGCACCTGCAGTCGGTCTGCTGACCCAGGGGACGATGCAGAAGGAACGAGGCCCCTTCGTGTTCCAAATGGTCAAGTCCATGGATGAAGGGGCCCCAGAACACACAAATAAATACACACAAATGAAAATGATCCCCATATTTTCCCATATTTTCTGGGTTTTTGTCTTCCCCCCCAATTCCTATATTTTCCCATATTTTCCTGGCACTCGACGATTAATTGTGTCTGTGTGTTTCTTTCCCTCCTGAATGGAGCCCGCAGCAACGGCTGGGCCCCTTTCTGGCGGCGCCCCGCATGCAAACCTAAGGAGGGACCGAGCCCCTCTTGAAAAGCAGAAGGAACAAACGCCACGAACATACTCCAGATTTCGTAAGAAAGGGAGGGGGGTCTCATTTCGGGGGGGGGGGGATCTCTTCCAGGCTATCTTGGAGGGGGCTGAGGGGGGTCTGGGGACGATGTTTTGGAGGGTTCTCCCACGGGGGGGGTCTGAAATGGCTTGTCTTGGAGGGTCCAGACCCCCTCCCTTTTATTACGAAATCTGGAGTACTCAGCGGCCCGACTGCACCAAACGTAGGGGCCCTCTGTAGAAGCCCCCTAGATGGGGTCGGAGTGGATGGGGTCGGAGGATCGTGCCGCATCGCCGATGCATCGGCGATGCATCGGCCGTGCATCGGCGATGCACGGGCGATGCATCATCGACGTCGGCGATGCATCGGCGATGTCCTCCCACCCCATCCACTCCGACCCCATCTGGGAGGCCTGGACTCTGGCGGGGCACTCTGGAGTCCACTGTCGCGATCGCCGTCGTGATCGCCGTGGTTGGCGTCGGCGTAGCCGTCGTCGTCGTCGTCGTCGTCGTCGTCGTCGTCGTCGTCGTCGTCGTCGTCGTCGTCGTCGTTGTAGTCTTCGTCTTCGTTTTCGTCATCGTTGTCGTCGTCGTGATCGTCGGCGTTGTCGTCTTCGTCTTCGTTTTCGTCATCGTTTTCGTCGTCGTGATCGTCGGCGTTGTCGTCGTCTGCCCCTCGGCCTCCGGCGGGTCTCCGGCGGCGTTCGACGGCCCCCGGCGGTCTGCGGCGGGTCTCTCGGCGGGTATCTCTCGGTGCAGAGCCCGGGGCCGCGTGCTCGGCAGAGGGTCCACCGTGGAATGCTGGGGACCTCCTCCTCCTCCTCCTCCTCCTCCTCCTCCACCTCCTCCTCCTCCTCTTCCTCCTCCTCTTCCTCCTCTCTCTCCCCCTCCTCCTCCTCCTCCTCCTCCTCCTCCTCCTCCTCCTCCTCCTCCTCGCCTTCATCCACGCCGGTTGTGAGGATGTCCCGAGCGGCGGGAGGGGGCGAAGAAAGTGGAAGAGCAGGGGGAACGGGTGGAGGAAGGAAGGGAGGGGAAGGAGGGGGGAGAGGAGGGGGGGCGGATGGAGGACGGAGGGAAATCGGACGAGGTGTTTGCAGGAGGGAGGGAGGGAGAAAGGAGAGGGGGGCGGGGGGGCACGCGGAAGATGAGTGGGAAGGGAGGGAAGAGAGGAGGGTGAGGGAGGTAGATGGTGGCAAAGGGAGTAGGAGGAGGAGGAGATGGGAAAGGAGGGAGCATGGAGAATCAGTAAGAGAAAAGAAGGGAAAAATGAAGGAGTAGTGTCTGAGGATGGAGGGTGAGGAGAAGAGGGAGGGAGGATGGAGCATGGGCGAGACTGAGGATGGAGGGTGAGGAGAAGAGGGAGGGAGGATGGAGCATGGGCGAGAGGGACGAAAACATATGATCAGATGCAGACGGGAGGAAGCCGAGGGAGGAGGTGGAAGGAGCCCCGCTGGACGCAGCTTCAGAAAGTGGCCAGAACAGTCCAAGGTGGGTTTCCTGGGACTGGCTTTGCAAGGATCTTGGTCAGACGGCGACGGCGACGGCGGCGGCGACCTCGGCGGCAGCGAAGGCGTCTGGCAGGGGATATGTCGACCCCTATCCCAGGCTTCGTGGAGATTTCGAGTGGACCAGAAATTCGGGGCCCAACACTGGGATATACGATGAGTGGGAGTCCACCCTCGACACGGCTGCGTCACTTACAGCCCCCTCCGGGTGTATCCCAGGGTTTCCCCCCTCTTCTGAACGGCCAAAAACTCTTCGGGCAGAACCCGGGGGAGGGGTGGAGAACCTCGCCTGCGAGCGCCGGCGGCGGCGAAAATGCCGACGGCGGCGACGGCGACGACGTCGGCAGCGACGGCGTCGGCTGCCACGGCGACGGCAGGCGCGCTCGGCGCCCGAGGACGGGGAGCCCGGGCGCCACAGCCGCGCGGCGGGGGCCGCTGGGGCCGGGTCCTCCCGCAAGGCGGCGAAGGCGCCGTCCGTGGAGCTGACGCTGCGGACGCCCTCGGCACGGCGGCGGCGGTCGCGGCCGGAGGCGGCGGCGGCGTGGACGGCGGCGTCGGCACGGGCGGCGAGGGGTGTCGCCGCGTGGGTGGCGAGAGGCGGAGGCGTGAGGTGGCTGGCTCTGGGCCGGCCCCCGCCCCCGACGGAACATGGGGCCAAGGCGTGCAGCGTGAGGCCGGTGCCCTTCTCCGAGGTCTGCACTGCCAGCTTACATGGAGTGATCATCAGGGCGGCACACATAAAAGGAATGTCGTGGATGGTGGACGACCCACCCGCTGGTCTGGCGGAATGTTCTGGCGAGCTCGTAAACAGCGACAGACAGCAAAGGAAGGGTGGAGGCGTCCTCGCCATCTCCTGCGGTTCCTTCTCCCTCCTCCTCTCATGCTCTCCTCCCTCCCTTCTGCCTCCTCTCTGCTCATCATTCCTGCTCCATCATGGTTCTCTCTCCTGCTGCCCTCCCTCCTCTTCCCCTTCAGCGTGCCCCCCCCTTGCAGAAGGTCACCACGCACAGCGATAGACGATAGAATTAAAGGCCTCCAAAGTGGGATCCGAGTAGATGGGATCGGAAACGTCAGCGTGGACAAAGTCGGTCTCCATATCGAGCCGCATCGACGATGCATCGGTTATGCGGCGCCATCCTACAACCCCGCTTTGTTACTCTGCCTCCGTTTGGAAGAGCCGCAAGGTCTAACACCATCCCTGCTTGCGTGGGTGAAATGGGATTCCGTGGCACGGATTGTGCTTGTTTGTTGTTCGTCGTTTGTTGTCTATTGCTGTCGTCGTCCTCCCCACGATCCGCAACGACCCACTTCGCGATCCACCCGCGACCCACTCCGCGACTCAACCCGCTACCCACACGCGACCCACCGCGCGACCCACCCTGCGACCCAGGGCCAGCCCGCCCGCCCCCTCACTCTTATCCGCAACTGCGGGGGGCCAGACATAATAATGAAACCCCTCTCCCTTTCCCCGATCATCTCTCGCCCCCTCCTCCTCCCTCCTGCTGCCGTCCCTCTTCCCCCTCAGCGAGTCCGCTCTGCAGCAGGCCACCGCGCACAGCGGCATACAGTCAACCCGTATCATAAGGATGCGCGGTAAGGATGCAAGGGCATCGGACGCCCATTTCGAAGCTTTCGAGCGGGGAGCGGCCAACGAGAGTGGCCAAGCATGGACCGAGGAGGCCAGGATGCAAGGGCACCCTGGGGGAGGCTGCCCATCCTTACCATGCGGGTTGACTGTAACATGACGACCTGCAAAGACCACCCCCCTCCCGATCCTCTCGCGCTCCCTCCCCCTCCTGCCGCTCCCGCCTCCTGCTCCTGCCGCCGCTCCCCCCGCTCCGCGCGAGGAGCTCCCGAGGGGGGCAGTCCCCCGCCTCGAGCTGGTCCTGCACCGGGCCAGGGTCTCCCCCGTGGGTGCGGCGGCCCCAGGCGACGACCTCCGGGGAGCACCCCGTGCAGCTGCCAATGTCCAACTGTTCTGCCAAGTCGTCCGCGCTCGTGCTTAATGGTGGTCGTGCCAGCACTGCCAGCTACAGCTGCGCCGTCTCCCGAATACTTACACGCCAGAGCCTAGCGAGACAGAGGAAGAGCAGGAACGCATGGAAAAGGAAAGTTGTCCGAAGGGGGGGGCATCAACCATCTCAGGCTGGGACACTGTGTGCTAGCAAGCAGTCGCTTTACCTATTTCGGGCGTGCGAAGAAACAGCTGCTGCCCGTTATCTTAGAAGCACGCATGAAACTTATCACAAAGAGCGCTGCAAAATGGCACGACTGGGTCACAGTACACTCCGACCTCGATGACGAGCCGATGCGAAGCGATGCGTATGTGCTTTGATGAATGCACCAGGTGTTGCCCACACCACGTATGGTGGCAAGGGCTGACGCATTCCCACCTACACATCCACGCTGGCCAAACTCCGCAGACATGCTGGGCGCCCCTTCACCGGGACAAAGAGGACCTCCATGCCGTAACTACGGCCACAACGCGGTCCCAGAACGGCGACAGTCTCCGTCATTGAACGCAAGCGCCGCGCCTCAACCTCTTCAGTCCGTTTCTAAGGACAATGAAAAAACGAGATGGCGCGTTCCATGGGCCGCAACGCAAGTTCCACCCCGTTTGTAGAAACCTCGTGGCCCAGGGCACGTCTTTCGCCATAAGAGGCGACACATGCGCTCCAAACGATGTCCACGAGGCCCTCAGAAGGCATGCAACACTAATCCATCCAGGTCAAGGGAGGTACACAATTCAATCAATGAGCTTTGTACGCAGCAATTGGCGAGCTCACGCTTCCAGAAAAAGTGGTGGGTTCTGCAAAAACAGCTGGTAACACGTCTGGCCATTGTTCCTGAAATTGGTCTGCGGCCAAGACATCACGAGACACGCATCCCCCGAACCTGCTGCTCGCTCATGGCCTTTTCTCTCGCGCCAACCTTATTTTGTCGTTTCCCCTCCCATCCCCCGCTCCTTCTACTATGGGTATGGGCTGCGTGTGTGCGTCAGTGGGGTGCGTGTGTGTGTGTGTGTGTGCATCCTCGTGGCAGGTGACGCGGGCGGCCTTCGGATGACCTCGCTCCTCTTCCGGTGCTCCTCGTTCGTCCATTCGCTCATCTTTCCCCTCTGAGTTGATGCCGCTGCTCTGCGGGAACAGAACTTCATTCCATACAGTCTGGCACGCCTCCACCTGGCCGACGGTTTGCCAGCAGGCAGACGGGGCGGCGAGGAGGTGAAGCTGGAGGACGTGGCGATGCCTTGAGGCAAGAGTCAGCTGAGGGAGCGGCGATTACAGCTCGCAGTCTCACGAAGCTCATTGTGCTCCCGACGTTGGCCGACACCGCGGAGCACCATGCGAGGCCCCGCTCGCATCGCATCGCAGCTGTCTATTGTTTCAGCTTTGTCCACGTGGTGATCCCGAGGATGTTACGTATGATACTCAAGTGTGCAGTGTAGCTCGTCGTTCAGTTGGTCAGTCCCAGGCTCGCTGCGGGGAGTTGAACTCAGGACGGCAGTATCAGACTGGGCCACTCAAGGCCCAGCCAGCTCCAATAGCTGGGGCCCATCGCAAGCTTCGCCCTTGCCCTCTGTCTGCGCAGCTCCTCGTCAGCCTCACGCGTTCCAGTCCACATCTCTGGCGTGCAGCGCGCTGCCCGCACGGACCTGAAGCATCGAGTGCGCGGGGTGGAGCAGGAAAAAAAGGCAGAGGAGGAGGAGGAGGCGAACGAGAGACCACTGGTGAGGGCCGCCGTCTCTGCCGCCCACTCGAGCGCAGCAGCTCTCTGCCTGGGCTCCCGAGGTGCCCTGCCTCTCCTCTGCCTCGCCATCGCGCCGCTGCCGCGCCGGGGCCCGTCGATGTCGCTCACCGTGAGCAGCCGCGTTCTGACGCGTGCTTCTGCGGACGGAGGATGTGGCACAGGGGCGCGACAGTCCCGTGCCGATCTGCGCCGGGGCAGCGAAAAGGTAGAGAAGGGAACATGGAGGAGGGCCGCCGGCTTGCCGCTCGTGCTGCGACCTGCCGCAGCAACCGAATACCGCGGCCTGTTTTTCGGCGGTGGACAAGCCTCCATTTAGTAAACCTCCCCTTAGTGAGAACGGCCTGGGACCGAAACCGACGGACCTGGACCCGCAAAAATTACGGCCGCGACGCCCTCTCGCGAACCGAAAACGGCCAATTCCTGAATCGACGTGTCAGGGTAGGAGGTCTATCCACCTCCGAGTTTTCCACCACCACCACACTACGCTGGAGGGGGGAAGGAGGTGGAGGACGAGGAGGAGGAGGACGAGGAGGAGGAGGACGAGGAGGAGGAGGAAGGAGGAGCCCCTCCCCCTCCAGCTTATGGTGGTGGTGGTCGGGCGATGCTCGCATGAGCGCGCTTCTTGTCCGCGAGGGTGCCCGGATGCCACGGAAGGCCGGGCGGCTCCGCGGGGAACGGCTGTCGGGGGTCCAGGTCGAGCGAGTGGCTCCACAGAGGAGCACGGCACGAGTCACCAGATGCACGCGTCCGAGCTACACCCTGCAAAGTGCTTTAGAAGTCATGGGTTCAGAAATTCATAGTCTCAGAATTTGCATAAAAAAGAAGAATGTCTATTCAAATCTTAGGATTCACACTGAAACATCAAGAAACATCGAGATTCTGGCCGAAAACTTGGGTGTTCTTAGGCATCGCCTAGAGTGTACGTCCAGAAATAGGGAGGTATCAGGAAGAGGAAGGGAGATCAGCGAGAGGAAGAGATCAAAGGGCCAGTACGTGGGGGATTCAGGCACGCCGCTGGGACGGGACGTTTTGGGGCTCGAATAAGGAGCATACGTAACTGAGAGCAGAGGGTCAGAGCACTGCTACGCGGGAGCGAAGAAAGGGGAGCTAGAGACAGAATGACGAAAACGCGGGAGACAGGTAGGCGAGGTAGGTGGGACAAGCTCCAAAGACGCATCCCTAGCCTCAGCGTCGGAAAATATCAGGCGGCGCTGCTTCGAACAGCTGGGCCCATGATTGGATGCGTCGGGAGGAGGGAGGGCGGGGTAGAAAAAGGAGACAAATAAATATAGGTAGAGAGAGAGAGAAAGAGAAAACAACAACACACAACAACAAAAAACAAACAAGCATGCGCGAAAGAGAGATAGAGGGAAAGAACACAAACGACAAATACATATATAGAGACAGAGATGTAGAGAGAACCGAAAAAGGAAAAAGGCAGGAAGAGAGAGAGAGAGAGAGAGAAAGAGAGAGAAAGAGAAAGAGAGAGAGAGAGAGAGAGAAAAAAAGAGAGAGAGAGAGAGAGAGACAGAGAGATCCGCGACCCCCGCTTGCCAGGGGTAAAAAGGCGTGCGAAACATTTGGCCACACCCCCATCCACAATTACGCAATCTACGCCCCCTCCGCTTACTGTTTTCTTGCACACAGGATTCCTCGAAGTTGGGTTTTCGCTTCGGTTTTTTGTCAAAATGTTGTTCCAGCTGGAACGCTGGCCTTATGTTCGGGCTTCCGCTCGTTCCGAATCGTGCCCCCGCTGCAGTACTGGCCATCTTTCCGCGCTTCTCCTCGTTCCGAGTCGTGCTCCCGCTGCAGCGCTGGCCTCATTTCCGCGCTTCCGCTCGTTCCGAAATGTGCTCCCGCTGCAGCGCTGGCGTTATTATTTCCAGTGCCATGCCACGGCGTGCAATGCAATGATATGTAGTGTTCCGCTGTGCGACGCCATGCCTTCAGCTGCAATGCTCGGATATGCAGTGCTTGACTACGCAGTGCCACACCATGTTACGCCATGCTAGGCTTTGATGTTTAACGCCATGCTACGCCATGTCCTGTTCTGTGCCGCTGTGCGATGCCATTATTTGGGCTGCAATGCTGCCATGCTATGACATACTACGCTCTGCCGTGCTCTTCTACGGCCTGCTATGCCGTGCTCTACGATGCATCGCGCACCCTCTCGGGATCATTGCCCTGCTCAACATCCGACTGTGCGAATGAAGAGGAGAGCTACGCTGTGTCAGGGGATAGGAGGGAAGGGTGGGACGTCAAAAAATACGCGAGCGCACCTAGCTTTCCCTTTACCCATCCCTCAGGGTCCAAATCCCGTTCAAGGGGGAGGGGAGGGGGGGGGCGGGGGACGAGCTCGCCAACGCACCCCCGGGGCCTCGGGAGCCCCCGACAGGCCCTACGACTGTCCAAGAGAGCCCAAACAGAGCGCCAAGACAGGCCTGAAGGCTGTCGAGGCGGCCGCAGGTAGCCCCGACCCGGTCAAAGATGGCTTCGAGACGTCCGAAAAGGCCCACACGGTTTCGCGAAGGACCGCCGAGGCGGCCCCAAGAAGCAAGCATCATCCCACTATCATTGAAAAACTAGCGCTGTTTGCCTACGCAACTTCTTCGTCTGACACCGTGCAGTACGGCCCCAAAGTCCCCCAAGATCGTCCCAAGACGGCCCATGAGGCCCCCAAGAAGGCCCCAAGACGGGCCAAGAGGGCCCTAAGAGGGCCCAAAAGCCATCCAAAATCGCCCCAGAGGCACCGAAGAGACCCCAAGAGGGGCCCAACACTGGGAATACGAACTGATATTCGACCCTTCCACCCCAAGATGGCCCCAAGAGCCCCCTCGAAGTTCCCAAGGCGTCCCGAAGAGGCCCCCAGAGGCCACCAAGAGCCCTCCCAGAGGCCCGCAAGAGACGCCCAAGAGGCCCCCAAGCAACCCCAAAAAGCTCTCCAAATCCTAAAGGCTCCTTCCTGCTCCTCGCCCTCCTCCAAGCAGACTATCGAATCTTTCCGTAGGGGTCGGCGGAATGGCGCAAGCCGCTTGAATGGATGTAGAGGGGCGGAAGGGAAACGAAAGGAAGAGACGGAGAGCGAAGGCGAGAAGGATAGCGGAGCGAGAGTGACGAGGGCGCGGGCGGGAGAAACCGGCGGGACCTGCCCGCCATCCTTCACGGCTGCGAACGCGAACGAGGAGGCGCACAGCTGGCGTACAGCCTGCCCCGCCGCAGCCGCCGCTGCCCCCGCAGTACGGAGGAGGAAGGCCCAGCCCTCCAAAGTCTGAAGGAGACATCGAGGGATGAGGCTCAGAGGTTCTTCGAGGTCTCAGGCATGTGGTATGTGAGGAGTTCGGGCATCTTGGGGCGCCTCTCGGCGACTCTCCGTCGCACGGCTGGACGTACCTCGAAATTCTGACCAGAACGCACTCTGGGACAGGTCTGGGATCGATGTCTTGCTGCCAGAACTGGACCTCCAACATCTTGAACAAAGCCGAGGCAGAAAGTGGCACAACTTTCTGCCTCGAGGGGTCTTCTTCGAAGCCCTGAACCGTCAAAAACGAGATGGGACCAGTGATCGACCCCAGGGAAGGAGTCGGGACTCTCCTCCTCCTCATCCTCCTCCTCCTCCTCCAACTATTCCTCCCCTTCCTCCTCTTCCTCCTCCTCCCGTTCCTCCTCCCCCTGTTCCTGTTCCTGTGCATGTTCCTGTGCCTGTTCCTGTGCCTGTTCCTGTTCCTCCTCCTCCTCCGTCATGGTCGCAACGGCATCGAGAGAAATATTCGACGGGGAGAGCAGCCGCAGCAGGTCAAGCACGAACGCAGGCAGGCGAAATACTGTCTGAAGCTTCACGTCCTGCTTGTTCTGAACGGGGGCAACGTGCGCCCTTTTGTACCGCGCCGCGCCCAACATGACAGCAAACGTCGTGTCTGGCGCCGCGCGATGCGCGAAACGCGGTCATCGCAGCGCCCTCATGCGGCCCCCGGAGAGGGAACGCGGTACGTTGGTGGCCGCCCCATGGGAATGCATATGAGACGGTGAAACCACCCGCTGTTAGCGCGCGTCTTGGGCCAGGACTTCGTCTTGCAAGACTTGCAAATAGGATGCTTCACGGCGATGAAACAATCGCCCTCGTTTTGCTGCGGCTGCACGGCAAGGACATGGGAGGCATCGCTCACTTCTTACGGAGGCCTCTCATGCTCTGGCAGCGCCCCGTGTTGCACAACCTCGTAAGGAAGTCCACCCCGTCTGGCCTTGAGATACGCATTCATGGCGACGCGCTCCTCTGCCATCACATGCTCTTATAACAAAGAAACATGAGCGCGCTCCTTTATAGAACGTCTGGGCTGTGCGTCGGCATAGCCACTGGAGAGCACAGCCTGCGTGTCTAGCTGCTCTTGCTCCGTTTCAGCTGTGCCAACCTTGACGGCGCGAACGTCGGTTCCATCCAGACACCTAGGAGACTGAAGCAGGACCCGGCCCGGCCCACTGAGACAGGAGCAGAGAGACCGAGAACAGAGGCACATGCGAAGCTTATCGTCAGAGCTAGCTCGCCTGCTGCCCATGCTGCCATCCGATAGAACGGTCAGATCACGGCGCATGGCAACTACCTCACTGGGAGAGCGGGGGTGAGCCGGCGGAGACGATAGGGGTTATCCCATGGAGGCAGACAGGGGAGCGTCTCCTTCAAGAAAGCTCCGATTCTCGCGGGCAGTACAAGCCTTCTCATCACCAGAAATCGACCGATTCCGACGGTTAAGGCGATGCACAGCAGGTGGTTTCTCGGCTCCGGAGGCTTGGCCACGCAGCCATCGGAGTCGAAGCCGCTAGACGGCATCTCAGGAGCAGGCGACGAAGCAGCGGGCCCGTCACTGGGGACAAGAAAACTGCTCACGTCGAGCGGAAGCGGCGGAGGCACCAGCGGAAGAAATAGATGCCGTTGTCCTCCTGCATCTCGTCCGTCGGATGGACGCACGGCCGCAGGCGGTGCGGGCGGCGGCGGGTGCCGTGGCGGGAGCAGAGGTGGCGCAGCCCCCAGCCACCCACCTGGGGGAGGCG